TTAGCAGATATATGCATAATCCAGGAAAGGAGCACTGGCAAGCTGTGAAGTGGATTCTACGGTATATTCATAATACTGTAGATGTTGGGTTAGTTTTTGAGCAGGAAGGCAATCAGTCTGTAGTTGGATAGTGACTCAGATTTTGCGGGTGATCTGGACAAACGAAGATCAACTACAGGTTATGTGTTTACTTTTGCAAAGGCACCAGTTAGTTGGAAGTCTACTTTGCAGTCAACAGTTGCTTTGTCTACAACAGAGGCAGAGTATATGGCTATTACAGAGGCTGTAAAGGAGGCAATTTGGCTTCAAGGATTGCTAAAGGAGCTTGGTGTTGAACAAAATGGTATCACAATTTTTTGTGATAGTCAAAGTGCTATTCAATTAGCGAAGAACCAAGTTTATCATGCAAGGACGAAGCACATTGATGTTCGGTATCATTTCGTACGAGAAATCATAGAAGAAGGTGGAGTCACGGTGAAGAAAAATTCATACTATAGAGAATCCTGCTGATATGCTGACAAAAGTGGTGACTGCGGTCAAGTTTCAACATTTTTTGGATTTGATCAACATTGTTGAACACTGAAGATTGAAGATGAAGACACAACCAAAATTTGTTACCGAGAGAAAATTGAAGATGTGGAATTTTGCCAAGGTGGAGATTTGTTGAATATGGCAAAACTCCCACATCGGTGGGAGACTTAAGTTTGGGGGAATATTTTACCTATAAAAGGAGGCCTAATGTTTAGGATTTAAAAACACCTCTCATTTGCCCTCTTATCTTCTTAAGGCATTTGTATCTTCTCTCTTTAGTATTATTTCACTTGTATTTTTGGAGTGGAATAAAATATTGGTTGTGTCCGAGGAGTAGGCAAAATTAGCCGAACCTCGTAAATTCTGGTGTTCCTTTTATTATTGTTTTATTGTCTTATTTATTATTTGGTGGCTGCCATAATTTTTGGTATACTAGTTGTGACTCATTCACACTATATACATTTGACTTCCGCAACACAGATGACTGCAGGAGATCTTCGGTACCAGAAAAATCATCGTCTGTGCTAATCTCAGCTTCTGTGGTGTCGTGAATCCTAAAATCCAGATACAATACTCTTTAGTAACAGAGAAAGGACTTGTACAAAAATCAAAAAGTTACTGACAAAATGATCAAATTTGCCTCAAGAATGAGTGGAAAGAAAATACTCAGCTATGCAGCTCTAGCGACTCAACTAAGAGTTCAATGAACTGATTCAATGTAAAAGAGTCCGGGTATCCAATCCAAAACTTAGGGCAATGCATTGACTAGTCCAAGACTTTTATAAACCCTTAGATGCCCCTAATATACCTGTTGTGGACATTATATGACTCAACACCCTCTTTTATGTGCAATATAATTTTAGGGTTAATACGTGCACTTTAATGCAGACTTAAGTGTATTAGAAAGGTCTTTCTAAAGGTTGCTCAATATCATGCCAAAGAATTTGAACACACCAATGCAAAATCATAAAGCAATGGGTGGAGCATCCCCAAACCTTTATAGACCTCTTTTGACCAATGTGGGATTGCATATAATCAACACCCTGTTGAATCGTGTGAACCATTTCATCTAAAAGTTCAAAATGTTAACAAAACAATACTTTTATTTATTTATTTTAGGTCTTCAACACACTCCCTCTTGTGCAGCCGAGATTCTTTTTCATGGGCCAAGCAAGTGGAAGTTTTCTTTTTAATGAAAGAGTGAGGTAGACTCGAAAGCAGGATCTATGCTTACTTCGATACCATGTTGAAATGGTAAACACTCTCACCTAAAAGCTTAAATTATTGAAGAGTGGATATTTGATTTATTTATATCTTCTACATCATACATCCTCCGGATGCGGCCCTTCCCCGGACCTTGCGTGAACGCGGGATGCTTCGTACACCGGGCTGCCCTTTTTTTCTACATTTCTAACTTCAGATCATGCAATTTTTGCTCCCTATAGACAGAAACCAAGAACTATAGAGAAAGAGTGATGGATAGATAGTAGATAAATAATTTTTAAACAATTAGATTATAGACAAACAGTCCTGGACGGAAGCACAATCAAATTAGATTATAGACACAACAATCCTGGATGGATGCACAATCAGATGAGCCAGCACATGGGGACATGCACCATGAAGCGTATAAAGTGGGTACACTTACAAAGTTTGACCTCTGGTATCATTTGAATATGCATCCAAGTAGTCACTAGTTGAAAACAAAACAGGAGAGGTCAAGTTCCTTGCATGGTTTGCATACCTAGGTTGCATGCCCTGGAGAGATATTTGGGAAATAGAAATCTTATGGAACACATGAAAAAGTTAAGAGAAAAGATTAGCCTCGTTTTACTTCTATAATAAATAAATGGTGAGAGGCTAGAATTACTGTGAAAAAAGCTGGTTTAATTGTCTAGATTACTTGTTGCATCATAAAAATATCCGCCAATTTTGTTCAACAACACATATGTATTAAACTCTTATTAAGTACTCTACATATGCAGGAATAGAGCCTTCAAAAATTAACTTCTGGAATGTGTAATCAAAATTAATATATTTGCTTGATATTAAAAGACAAAGAGGGGAGAAGCAATGAAAAACAGAGAATATGCCAGGTAAAGGACAGTACTATATATAAGACATGGTTACATACCATCAAAGACAAATTTTTTTGTCATTTATTTCATTTTTCACATATTATTACATTGGAAAAAGATACATGAGAAAAAGAAAAAGTGACACTTCTATTGAGGGATTGTCAAGACCTTTTACTGGACAAATTAAATTCTCTAATGTTCACTTTTTTCCATCCATGGTAGCAGGACTTGGAAAATCATCTACAGGTGGAAAACTATATGAAACAATGGATGGTTTAGATCAAAAACAAGAAAGGGAGAGAGGAAAAGAAACCATGCAGAACAAAAAAAAGTAAAGAAGACAAGAAGAATGGAAAGGAGCATCAAATTTTAGTTTGGGGTTTGATCTAAAGAAAAAAAGGAACAAACTGGTATTCCCTTGACTTTAATACATTTATATGCATTTTTAAGTTCATAATATCAAAGGTCAGTTTTGGCATAACAGATCGCCAAAGAAGGTTTCTTTTCCTTTCATTTATACCTGAAAAGAACTAGAGTTTTGGTCAATTTTCATATTAACTGCCCTTGCTCTCCCCCAAAAATTCATCCAAACTAAGGGGGAAAAAAGAACTTGTTCCCTACTATTCTAGAGTAAAAACATCTCATTACAGAGAATGATTTAAGACCAGAAAAAAGGAAAAAAATCTAATTCGGTCACATTGCTGTTAGAAGATCATAAAAGATCAACAACTCAAGATTTTATGACATCAAGAAAGCCAGTGTTCTTTTTCATGAAGTGAAAGTTGTGTACATAAAACTCCAGAACAGGTTGAGTCCAATATCTCTCTTTTAGCGGAACCTATCTCTTTCTTTATATTCAACCTCGCTGAACGAATCTCGACTTGAACTCATCAAGCAATGAACAAATAAAATATAGCAAACTATTAGCTTGCACTTTTTTTTGATAATTAATATTCCAAAAGTATCTTAGAAACACGTATCAGATGTAACTTTGCAACACTTTATGGTAGGAAGAACAACTAGAACCCAGTATCAATGGGTATATCAATATCATTGAAAAAGACCACAATCTGAACATTTGAACAAAAAGACTTCCACATCATTCAGGACCACATTTTTCAAGGCAACAGGCAGGTTTAGAAAGAATCAAATAAGTTGGACCAGGATAGAATATCTAACACGTCTTTTAAAACTATCACCATCTTGTAGTGGAAAAGAGAAAAACTTAAATTTATTTTAGACAAGATTTATCACCTGCTGTTGGCATTTTTAACTTCAATATCTAAATTTATCCAAATTTTCTCCCTAATTTAAACAGATTTCATACTTCAACTAGAACCCAGTATCAATGGGTATATCAGAATCATTGAAAAAGACCACAATCTGAACTTTTAAGCAAAAAAACTTCCACATCATGTCAGGCCTCTGATGTCCACATTTTCCAAGGCAGCAGGCAGGTTTAGAAAGAATTAAATAAGTTGGACCAGGTTAGAATATCTAACACGTCTTTTAAAATAATCACCATCTTGTAGTGGAGAAGAGAAAAACTTAATTTATTTTAGATAAAGATTCATCACCTGCTGTTGGCATTTTTTTTTATTTCAATATCTAAATTTATTCATATTCTTCTCCCTAATTTAAACAGAATTCATACTTCAAATATACTAGTGCAGTATTTTCAGGAGGCAAAAGAACTCTTCCTTGAAACTTTTTACTGATATCTAGGCATTACCAAAAGTAAAGCAGCTATCCAGACTATGTTTAACATCCCTGCAAAGAATTAAGTACGAGATTATTCAATCTCAGTGGAATCTCCAATATATAACGAGATAAACCAGAACAACTGCAGGAACTACCTCGAGTCAGAAGTGAAAAGCAGAAGCAAAAGTTGGTGTTCCCACGTCGTATATTGTTGGACTGTGTAACCATCTCATCTAAAAGCTTAAGTTGTTAGAGAGAAAATACTTTTAGTTACTTAATTATGCCTCAACACGCCCACTCATGTGCGGACCTGATTCTTTTTCATGGACCAAACACGTGAATTCTTTTTTTAAAATGGGTGGCAGGGAAACTCGAAACCAGGGCCTTTGCATGCTCTCATACCATGTTGAGGTATGTCACCATCTTATCGAAAAGTTTAAGGTGTTAGAGAGAGCACAAAAATAATTACTTAATCATGTCTTAGCAGATATATCAGAAACAGCTTCTCTACCTTCACAAGATAGGGCTAATGTCTGCGTAACCACCTTCCGCAGACCCCACTTGTGGGATTACACTGGATTTTTTTTTTGTTTTGTTATCTCTCAGAAGATATCAAAATAGAGATTCTTTAACAGGATAAACAATCATACAGAAATCATAGTTTCTAATAGATAAACCAGCACAAGCAATTAGCCAAGATTCAACATACCTTGTTATCCTAGAAAGAAAAAAAAAAGTCACAGATCCTACAGCTGTAGAGGAAAGCAAAAGATGTATAAGAAAGATGATACTGGAACAGTGGCCTCTGAAAAATTACCTCCCGAAATCTGAATTCCATCTTAGTGAAAACATTGTCAACTTTCTCCAGCATCCTTTGGTAATAACCGTTTCTTGAAACCACCATTGTCTCAATAGTTCCTTTCTCAAATAAAAAGGACGATCTGAAGCTTCGGAATTCGCTTGAAAACCCATTGATGCCAGGAAGTTCTTCAGGAATACCGTTAAATGGTCCAAAAGTATCACAGAACTCAAGTAACTTTGTTATTATTTGAAGCTGTTGACCTGCTCGGAAAAGGGGCAGTAAACAATCCTCCAGAAACAAAGGTAAAACTCCCTGTCGCACCTGAGATATTGACAGACTCCAAAGTTGACACAATAAGCATATCAGCATTGGAAAAAAATTAAAACTCCAAATTCTAGGCAATGACAGACAGCATTACCCTAACACTTGCTAATGGAGTCATTAGAGATTCCAGTGTTACCCGGCTCATGATCAGGTTGCTCTTTCACAATTTCCACGATGAACTCTTTAAAAGGATCAGCAATTCTACCTTCAAAAATCCATGCTCTAATAAATCCGCAGTACGGTTCCCATGAACGTAGAAACAGGAACTTCAGGAGAGCACAATGGGCTGGATCAGCCATCTAGCCAAAAAAAAATCCAAGGAACGATACCAATAATAAGCAAAAGAGACACCTTATTTAATATCTTATACAAAAACTTCAGATCCATAAAATCTCACACCTTGTTTCACCCAAAATGTAACTTTTTCCACAATGGTGAATGGAATGATACTTAGCATCACACATTATTGTAACAGCCAAAAATACTGAGTGCACCATTCGGACAATATCGACATCGCAGTTAAATACCTTAAGTTACATATTTTCCATTAAGAATGCAGGCTATTTCTTTCCTACTTACAAAAATCTCTTAGCAGAATCACATGCCCAGCCACAAGAAACACATCCGAGAAGTCCCTCACCATCGGAACTGAATAAACATGAGGAGCCTTAGCACTGACACTCATCATAAGAGCCCAAATAAGGAAGACAAATCCTTCCCAACCGCCCGCTGGGTCTTCGAAATATAAAATCCCAATAGGACATAATCCGTCGAACATCGCCACTCAATCCGTGGTATTTTCCGGCATAGCCAAAAGCGCTGCCTTATCGCAATAGTTCAGAATAACACAATACGGAGGCAACCAATCTGAACCAAATATCATATACAAAATCTAACATACCAAGCAAAGAAAGATCCACTCGGGCCTCCAAATCTCGGTAGTCACTAAACAGTGCTGATACACACGATCTACGACCACAACATAGCCTGGATAAGAGAACTTCCGGTCTCCAATTTCCATGTAGCACACAAATCACCATACCTGATCACAAATTCCGCCGTCCGAATACATATCACACCTCAGGTACCCAGTCATTCCACGAAAGATATCCTAAAATTCCTATGTGCCATACAAGCAACTCGAATATCAGCAGTCGATCCAGCCCGAAAGTGCCTCAATACTACTGAAGTGCCATGAACTTAATCACATTGCCCTTTTTCTGAAACCTACACTCTCGTCAAATCACTTCCAAATAACAATACCATTTCCTTAATCATCTGAGGCTACCCGCTGCCTAAGAGTGTTATGAACTTCCTTTCAGAACTGAACTGAAACCTGCTACACGCAAATCTCGATCCTCCACAACATATCGCATATACCATACCATCCAAGGATAACACGAAAACTTTTATCTCCCTTCCGAGCCATAAACACCTACGCACTCAACTAGTCAAGAACTTCCATTGATCTCATCTAGAAGAAAAATCACTACACCTCCCATCCCTTTCATATTCGTAGAAAAATGCACCTCTCCAACCACGGTAGAAATCAACAAGAACTCTCCCAATTCCGTTTGCACAAATTCAACCGCCAGGATTGAATCCTTCTAACTAGACCAAACTAAGTAAGCCATCAAAACCCATGAGCATTCCTGCAAAATACCTGTAAGAACCCATTACCTCGAACACACACAAAGAATTGATCATATCCTTACCATACCGATTCGGTCTACTATCAAGCTACTCATATATCTAAATTCCTTCTAATTCATTTTTAACTTGATGCTCCCTCTTGCTACCACAATCTCTCAACCTAGGTTTACCTCACGAGACCCAAGCATAACTCCACGCTATCTAAGACCCATAAGCCACCGAATACTCTCTTAAATATTCCCAAAATACCCCATTTCGAAACACCTTACTCTAAAGAACTTCTTGCGATCAAAATCCGTTACCTTTGTCCTCCTGACACTGATATATGTAGAATCCCATATTTATTATAGAAATTACCACAAGTCTTGACATCTTCCAATGAAAATTCAGTTTCTAATCACACATGCAATTTTAAAGCACTCAGTTGATGTATATAGACTCTTGAACACATTAGAACTATTCTCGCAAGTCATTCACTCTTATTCAATCTACAACTTACTGACCTAACGAAAGAACCACCCATGCCTCATTGGCACTCCGATATCGCAAAAATGAAATCCTCATCCCAATACAACCAAACAACTTCCTGCTCTATGCGCCGAGCATCCTTTACTAATAACACTCTAGACATTCCGTGATTCATATACTCTATGAAGCATAATGTGACCTTTGTCAAACTTTTCCTTTACTCTAGCTATAGCTAATTCACTCGCACGCCCCAAACCGGAACTAACATAGCACCTAACCGTGCATTCAACTGCTCACAGCAGCCTCCCCCACTTGGCTCGAAGCCATAGATCAAGACACACTCAATAACTCATAACACTTTTACTCTATTGATGCCACAATACCATAGTGAGATTAAACTCAATCATTTATAAGTTTGTGAAAACACAGATCATCCAGTACCGTAAATCTTCTGCAAATCTCGCATTCATCCCCGCAACAGTTAAGCCCACTCTCTTAAGCGAACCGAAATTTCAAATTTCAACACGTACCCTTCAATTACACATGAGATCTTCTAACATACCCATAAGGATCACACCCCTTCAGAACATCCCTTAGGGGATAACCCACGCGCTTCGCCTTAATATAACATTTTCGTATACCTTCCACCGTCATACACATTACACAACCAATTAGTCTTCCTGAGTCTGAACTCAAACCGCAACATGAAATTTACTCCACTCTCAACTGGAAACATGAAAAGTATTCTTCACGCGCCCATAACTCGGGGCTACACATCCAGTCACAATGGAAATCATACACTTAATAGTTCACCTATCATCCAGCAGATCTTCCTCGACACTCCCAAGTTATATAGATATATCTCTCAGTACTGACATACTGATCACATAGATATCCAACCGCCACTTCCACTAATAGGGACAATACCGAACATATAGGTTCAAAACGCTTACTCACACAATCAGTACCTCGGTGCTCAAGCCATAGACAAAGATCCGGCCTCAAGTCCTCCAAACTGGCCTAACATCAACTCACAGAGATCACATCTCGCCCATCGATCGGGGAATCACAAGCCATCAAGGCACATCTAATTCTGAGCGCTCATGCGCACATACGAACGCGTGGAAGGAATTTCAAGAGTTACATTTCAAGCTGAATCAAGTACGCACGATAAGAATTCCAAGAATGTGAAGTTTTCCTAAAGGTTCTGCAGCCTCTCGAGGAAAAATACAGACGTCTCTGTACCGCTCCACGAGACTCTACTAAACCTGCTCATGACTCGTGAGACCTAGTAACCTAGGCTCTGATATCAACTTGTCACGACCTAAACCTCGCAACCGATCGTGATGGCGCCTCTCGTGAAGACGAGGCCAACCAACTAACCCAACCCGTCTTTAAAAAAAGACAGTTAAACATGAATAAACAACTTAATTATGAATTTATAATATTATTTAGCGGAAATATAGCCCAACACAGCCCTAGTCGGGGTGTCACAAGTCACGAACATCTATCAGAATGTAAATCCACTACAAGGTCTAAAATATACAAAACCGGAATAATGAACAAAAGAGAGAAAAATGGTGCTGCGAACGCTGGCAGTCACCTCATTAACTTATATAACTCTGCCTCTGATCAGCCAAAACCCTCTACCGGGTGAATAGATACCTGCATCTGCACACGAGGTGCAGGGAGTAAAGTGAGTACTCCAACTCAGTAAGCAATAAAGGTAAATAACAATTGAGCAGTAAGAAATCACGTAAAGCAAACCATCATGCTCTATGGAAGCAGTGAAGAATCCTTTGAGAGAAAGCAATGAAGCTGTGAAATCTTTAGAAATATCTAGCTCAGTTTAAAACCTCTTTTTGAAATTACTTTTTTTAACAGTTATGAAAATAAATGCAAAACAAATAGTGCAGATAAGCATAGAGGTCCGCCTTTCGGGCACCACACTCGATTAACAGATAATGTCAGGCAATCCGGTGGATATCACACGAAGTAGCACAAATAATAGGTAATGGCAGACAAATGAAATAAAGTAAACACACCAAAACAGTACTAGTACCGCTGCGACGTGCAACCCGATCCACATATCGCTGCGGCGTGCAGCCCACTCCATTTATCGTCGACGGCGCTCACTGGGGGTGTGCAGACTCCAGGAGAGGCCCCTTACGGCCCAAGCGCAATAATAAGCCATCTCGTGATATCAACTAGGCCCTCGGTCTCATATCAATATCAGTATATCACTGCTGCGGCGTGCAGCCCGATCCAAAGTATCCTCACAAATACAGGCCCTTGGCCGTACTCAGTCAACAAAATCACATAAGCCACTCGGGCAACGGTAAAACATGATGCTCAGCCCAAAGTATTTTTAGAATTATCATTTCGAGTGTCTAAGGCATAATAAACTTGGCTGAGTTTTAAAACAGTGAAAATATACATGACTGAGTTCAAATATATAATTAAATCAGTAAGGAATTTTCAACAACAATCCCCGAAGGGTTCAAATAATTGGCACGAAGCCCAAATATGGAAATCAGCCCAAATTAAGATGATAACAAGTAATTTCAGTCAAATACACAGTAAATTCATCAATCGGGACGGACCAAGTCATAATCCCCAATGGTGCTCTACCCCACGCTTGCTATCCGGCGTGCAAGTCACCTCAATATAGCACTACGATGTGCAAATCCGGGGTTTCAAACCCTTAGGATGTCATTTACAATCATTACTCACCTCGAACCGGCAAATTCTCTAGCTCGCGACGCCTTTGCCTCTCAAATCGGCCTCCACGCGCGTCGAATCTATCCAAAATCAGAGTGAATACATCACATTATGCTAAAGGAACAATATCCAATCGAAAACAATCGAAATATATCAAGAATCTCAAAATTAGCAAAACCCGAGCCCCGGGCCCACTTCTCGAATCTCAGAAATTTTCACATCAACGGGTTCCTTATCTCGCCACGAGTCCATACATACCAAGAACTCTCAAATCCGAGCTCAAATGACCCATCAATCCCCAAATCAAATTTCAAAATCTCAAGCCCTAGTTCTTTAATTTTAGGCTTAATTTTCATAAATTTCAAGGTTAATTTCACATAATAATCGTGTTTTAAGATCATAGAACTTACCTCCGATCAATCCGCTTCGAAACCCTCTTCAATTTCTCCCAAA